CGTAATGGCATTGTTTCACGCTGGTTCCATATACTGAAACGAAGACTGCTCACCGGGTGTTCTTCCCTCGTCCGAGCTGCACATTAGAGGCGTCTGCACGTGAATGCTGAGAGAAGAACGACGCTCTGTCTTATTTGTAATGTAAGTATGACTGCTATAGTGCATACGTAATTCTTCAGCGTGTTAGGCTGCATCAGCGCATGGACTAGTGCAGGAAAAAAATGCTTAACTAAAGCATAGGCTTGTCAGCAGATAGAATTACCGTGTGAATGATTTTGCAGTTCATCTTGCCTTATGTTTCTATAAAAGTGGTGTTTAGACCGCAGCTGATCCCCCCCCCCTTTTTTTTTCTTCGTTTTTGTTACCGAGAGCGACGCACCTTTCAGAAACAGTCCCAAAACCAGGGTATCATGCGAACCAAAAACCCAAACCTTTCTTTTCCTATCTTCTATTTATTCCCTAGACAGGAAAGGCAAACCCCCTTGACCCCCCACCCCCCAATATTACCTTAGCACGGTTAATGTTACCGAAGGCGACGCACAGAAATAGAGGGATATGGGTATCGCAATCTAATTAGTGTATGAGAATTATAGTCGTAAAGAACATAACTACAGTTGCCCTATAATATTATTCCACCAAATGATGTAAATATGCATATCACCGCTTACAAAGTCCACACACCTTCACACAGTTCTTAATGTCTGATTTGTGTAAGCTGGCACAAGTGCTAATAGAGGGGGTTAGGGCGGGGTTTGCCCTCCTGTCTAGAGATTAAATAGAATGTGTTTTTTTTTTTTTCTTGTATAATACCCTGGTTTTGGGACTGTTTCTGGCAGGCGAGTCGCTCTCGGTAACATAATACCCAACTTTGTCCTCAACAATATACTCCTATTTACCCTGTTGCCCCCGGACCCGTGTCCGATCGCCATAGGCATTTGTCGCAACCTGTTTTCTTCATTTGACTTTAGGTAAATGTATGCCTATCGTTCTTTCCTCTGGACAGTTGCTCAGGACCTTTTTCGACTGAAGATGGGAGTGGGTCCTTTCAGAAACTGCAGCAAGTTTGCGTGCGTCGTACTCGTTCAACTTTAGCCCGCTTTGCACATTTTGAGGAGAGAATCTTTTCTTGCAGGTCTAAAGGACCGCAATAAGTTTATTATGGTATGGACATAGTAAGCTCTGAGAAACTGGATGTTCTTGTAAAGGACCGTCTTTGGTACAGAAATCTGCAGACACGAACAGTAACACCACACATAAAGGGGAAAAAAGATCGCGGAAGGCGCCGCTCACCACCAATCGGTGCTACTGTTCTCTCGCTCGCTCTCTCGCTCGCGCACGGCCAAAGCCCGATGTGTGGGAGTCCTTAGATTAAATACATTTTGTGGCGTTAATTCGGTGAATTTCTCTCGCGAGTCCGTCCATACTTTAAAGTATTGCCTAATATGAAGAGTATTGAAATAAAGTAGGAAGTTGGTGCACTGGATGTATCGGCGATAAATTAATCTAAGGCTAAGTATGTCATAAGTGAAAATGGTAATTCTTTACTGTACGGACGCAACCGCCAGAGACTCCGTCACAAAATTTATTCATCATCCAAGTTGCCGTGACTGGGGGACCCTACGAGCACTGACCAGTCGGGCTGAGATAGTTATGGTCCTTGTGGCAATGTATTTTCAATTCCCAAGAGTGGCTGGAGTAATGGGGCTTTGTCTCGGGGGTTGTGCTCCGGTTGCAACACCCCATATTAGGTGTTTTGATTCGTACCAGCGATGTTTGTTGAATTCCCTGGAGTGCCTCAAGAATGTTGGCGGGGGTAATAGGGACTTACTTTTTCACATATCCGTACAATTTTGTAATTGTTATCAATGTTGCAACGGGGTCAGGCGTGATTTTTGCTAATCAATGTTGTAATACGCTTGAATCGGTATTCCATTGCAAATATAATTGAAAGAATTAGGAATGTTTATGATTTAGTTCCCATTACTCCAGTCAGTCCCGGAAAATCCACACATATCCGTATGAACGAAAAGCCTTCCAAACCCTCGAGCTTCGACCCCAGACCCAAATCCGATCGCTGTATCGGGGGGATAATTAGAGTTATTTTCGGTTATTTCGATAAATTTCAGGCAAATTTTAGCCTGTGCTACATAGCTGTTGAAAACTTATTCTAAACCGGACTTTGAGGGTTCGACCACTTTGTAAATAATTACCGGGGCAAATCAGATCCTTGTAAAGTCCGTTGTCAGTCAAAGTAATGTAGATACGAACAGTTACACTACGAAGCCCACTCTGTGCTCAGTTTTAGCTTAAACTTAGCGTGCAGACCGAGGTGGAAATAGTTGGGGGGGGGGGTGATGATGGGACCCTTCGTTAACCCTCACGAGCCGTGCCCGAAGACCACGCCTAGTCACGGAAACTTAAAATTGTCGAAAACAGATTTGACCGAGTTGGATACATTGGTAAAAGTGCATCACGTACTACAAAGAATTAGCGTAAACGAGAACACTAGACACTCCGTATATGGTAGGAGTAGGTGTCTGGGCACTGTCTATACTCGAAAAAAATATGTAATGTAGTCGTGGTTCATGTTCCGGTTGAGTATTGTCAAAATGAAGACTTGGAATTTCAATCTAAATGAGGTCCCTTTTCGCAGTGCCTAATCGACACCCATATGAAAGTTAGGGGGAAGACCAGACTGTTTAAGTGTAGATATTTATGAATGGCGTTTTTTACCATCTAATGTATACAAAAGTACCATTCATGTATCTCAGATATGCATGAGTGGTGGCTTGCTTATACCACAAATGATCCCCCCCCTAGGTTTGGTTTTGGTTCATATGGCCAGGTTTGTGGGCTGCTCAGAATGCTCAAAGGTTGATTGGAGTAATTGAGACTATTCTGAGGGTGTCAGTTCATAGAAATATTTCAAATTTATCTGAAAATTTGGAAGTAAAGCCTAACTAGGTAACCTGAACATTATTGATGTTTAAATTGTGACCATTCTCTAGTGGAATAAGGGGATTCACAATCTGTGGAACCTCACCCACCCCTCCCAACCCCCCAAAAAAAATATATATATATGAGTAGAGATAGGAATCCAGCAAGCCTTACACTTTTGATTATTTCAGAAAAGAAATAATATATCACACATCATTCAAATCACATCTAGGCCATGAAGCCAATACACTAATTTTCAACTCTGCCTTGCCACAATAAAATATAACAAAGCAAATAATTGTATGCATTTTTTTGTTAAGATTCTATCTACAAGCTAGTGCAATGATATGGAAATTTACAATTGACTGATTTGCATTATTCCAGAGATCAGTCACGTGGTAAAAAACAGCAACATGCCTCCCCGCAAGAAACCTGCCAACCAGCCGCAAAGCCAAAAAATGAAGCCGAGGTAGACTCGGACAAGACTGAAGCTGTAGAGAAACTTGCCCTGGATGAGGACTTAGAGACGAGGAAGATGATGATTATGACCCTGAGGTAAATGGTCATCTTTCAATCACATGTGATTTATCGTTTTTTTTTTTTTTTTTTTTTTTACATTGTATTTTTAGACCTTTAGAAATGGAATGTACTTGCATTTGTGTTGGTTGCTTTTGGCACTTGTTACATTTTTAAACCTTTTGCTAGAACTGATGTGTATGTTGCATATTTAAAGGCAAAAGGCAGTGACGAGCAATCGGATAATGGAAACGAGGAAGAGGATGAAGAGGAGGAAGCAGATATGGAAGATGAGGAAGATGAAGATGAAGAGATAGATGAAAGTGAGGTAAAAGATGTATTAAATGACAAAGATGGTGTTGAGGATGGGGATGAAGACGATGATGCAGATGAGAATGAAGATGAAGAGAGGAGGGGGGGGAGAGGAAGAGGAAAGGAAGAAGAGGAGGAGAGGAAGAAAAGCCCAAAGCCAAGTCCAAACCCAAACCTCAGTCCAAACCAGTGCAGTCAAAAAAGCAAGTAGTGAAGGCTGTTGTAAAGAAAAGTGTTGCCAAAGCACCTGTGGAGAGTATTGCAAAAGTTGTTTTAGAAGCAGTTAAGGCAAATGCAGATAGAAAAGGGATTTCCTATGCTGGTATCAAGAAGTACCTAATGGGTAAGGTTCCACAAACTTCTCTAGCTTTTGAAGTATTTCATGGCATAGATGGCTGGAGCAAGTTTTAGGTTATTAACCATTTTTTCTGCATTGTTAATAACCTTGTGCAGTCCATTTTGTTAAAATGTTTTAGACTTTGAGGGTTTTACATGTGGGTTTTGTATCAAATGCACAATTAACTAAATGATTCTTCAACAGCACAGTACCCAGACCGAGACTGGTCCAAAAAGGACACTATCTTAAATCTGCTCTTAAGAAGGCAATTGAGGAGAACAATCCTAAGAACTAAGACAAGTGCAGAATCGTCTGGAGTACATGGAAGATTCAAGGTGAGAATTATGAACATGATGAATGACTAGAAAATTTTCTTGTTTGTGTAAAAAAATAATTGTACCAAGCATGCCTATTTAGATTTCCTTGTGGACATATGTACATTTATGTGATCAGATCGATTGCAGAATTCCTGTAGAATGGTGCCTTACAATTTGATTGGGTGAATGAATGGATCAGCCTTGAAGTATTAAAGTAGATCAATAGAATCAGAAATATTAATGATGCATTATATAAATTACTCTTTACTGCAATTATTCATTGGATAACCAGTTTCTTGAATATATTCCACTTTCAGTTCAACAGGGAATACAAAACCCTTAACCAGGGTGAGAAGAAACCAAAGAAGAAAAGAATCCCAAGGCTAAAAAGGAAAGTGCAGCAAAGCCTGATAAAGAGAAGGCAAAGCTTAAAGCAAAAGAAAACACACAGGGAACTAAAACTGGCATTAAAAAGACCACACCCAAAGGAAAGACCAAAGATAAAGCAGCTCCAAACACCAAGAAAAAGGTGCCAAGTGAGAAAGAGAACAAAGTACCCCCAAAGCCAGTAAGGTGAAACAGACAAGAGTAATGAGTTGGGGGCCGCCACCAAGGGCAAAGGGGCAGCAGCTAGTGCAAAGGAACCAAGAAACCGGCCAAAAGAACTAATGAGCCGAACAGGAAGTAAAGACCAAGTCCAAAAAGGGGTCATAAATTACGCAATTTTCAACAGATAAAAATGTACATTTTGGTTTTACTGTATCTGTAAAATATAATCCAAAGTTTTTCTAGGTTTTATTTAGGTGAAGAAAATGAATTATTAATTATTAAATTCTTTGATAAGACTAGTTTCTTGTCCAGAAAGTTTAAAATAAAACTTTTTAGTAAAGCACTTTTTAATTACCTATTTGGGGTGGCTAATTTGAAACCAAATAAACTTCATATTGAAGATAATGCATAGCTGTGTGCAGTAAACTTAAATACAGGTTCTTTCAGGATATCAAACCTTTAACAGCATGGATGAATAATTTCGTTCGACAATATTGGAGAGAGCTAGAGATCACAAGCGCTAACATGCTTCCAAGGTTGGATGCTTAACCCTAACTTGCAGTTCTAGAACTATTAATCATGACAGGTTACGTGACTTTAGTTTTGCCCAAGGCCATGAACTAGAGGGCATTACAGACCTGATGCCTATGAACAGAAGTTTTTCTTGTTTTCCCCAAGTGCTGCTGCCATCTCAGCCCCTCCCCTTTGTGTATAGTGAGATGCTTTGAGTACCACAGGATTTTAAAAATTGCTCAAATGACAAATATTTCGTCAAACTAAAATGGTTGAGAAATGAATTTGTGGTGGTTATGAGTGACATGTATACTCCTAATACATCATGCACAATATCATCAATGCTTGTGGAAGGTAAGTTGGCTTTCAGGTAAAAAAAAATTGTAATTAAAGTAACCATATATACATAAAATTGATTTCCATGGTTTTTATACAAAATTGTCTTTTCAAAGTTTCAGTAAAATTTTTAAAAAAATTACTAGCATCCACAATACAGCAGCAACAATGTTCAAAGACACAACTTGGGATGCGTACAGGGTAATGGCTTTTGAATCCTTGCCAGTCAGTGGGTATCTACTAAAACACATTCATACAGATCATTAAAACAGTGGCTCTTAACCCATTCCCACAGAATCATCTTTGACTGGTGGCTGCACAGGCAGGATTATTGGCACCGATAGGCAGTTCCCCTGTTTGCAACAGGCTCATTTGGTAGTTTGTGGATATCAAGCACCTAAAATCTTTAAAAAAACTTTTTAAAAAAGATTTAACCTCACTTTACGTGCCAGTGCCATAGTTTAACCATACAATTGTTGCCACTACTAGATAAACAATCCTGTTCGATAAGCCGATAGCACAGGCTGGTGAGCTATGGTGCCAAAAACGGTAGTACCTATTCTTGCCATGACAAATTGTAGACCTAAATGGGCCAGATGGTTTAAGATCTGTCCACATAGGCGAGACTGATCAGTGGGGAACATCGCAGGATAGAATACAAGGAAACTACTTACTGAGTAGTCTGTCTGCCTGTGAGGCCATTTCTGTTTCTGTTCAGTCAAGACTTCTTTAACTCGCCTTTCCATAACTTTTAAGTGGAATTAGAATATAAAGCCTATTTAGATGCTCTTTAAAGCTTTGTACCCGATAATTCAAATCCACTATCTTTGAAGTTTTTGCCTGATTTGTCAATCTGCGAGAATTACAACTTTTACTATCCTCAAGTCAATTGCCTACATGGTGTCAATTTTTTTTTAATTTAAGCTCGGGAATAGATTGCCTTCAGAAATTTTACCATTTCTTGATAAGTTTAAACTTTTTTTTTTTTTACTGGTTACATGACTGATTATTCTCATTTCTTTCATAGGTGTTTTGACCTGCACCAATACCTTTTGGTGGTATAATTCTAGAATTTCAGTATGGGTGTATATATGGTTTACCATATTACTATTAATTAATGGGCTTTGAAGGAAGCCAGCACTAAAGATTCTCAATAGAGGTACTAATGAAAATGGTGTATTATCATTATTATTATTACATACAAAATCAAAGGTACACTTTGCTATCACTAGGTTCAAATATAAAATTACTCAATGGCTCACTTTCAATAAACTCCATTTGTAAATGGAGAGGAAATGCTAATTGTAAACACAACATCCATCCTTATGAAGTCATCTACAATATTATCAAATCATCGTCGTCATCCACTGGGCCAGGTCGCATCTTCTTGGTTGGATTCTGTAAGTCATCCTCAGCCTTCCTCTTCTTGACATAATCATCATCCAGGCACACCAACTCATCATCTGATGCTGCTGTGGTAGATGCTGCAGTATAAAAAAAAAGGAGGATATTTTTAGTATTTTGTCATTTCAATGGACAAGTAGTTTAAAAAAAAAAAAAATCATTTTTTCGCCAAGTAATTTTTAAGAGGCCAAAAACTAGATAATAATGAATGAAAGCACTTTCTTGAGAACTAAACCATACCCATAAAGGGCTTCTGCTTTAGATGGGATGCTTTGTATTTTTTTTCTGTAATTATAATGGTCTCATTGGTGTCAATGGATAAGAAAACGTATACATCTAAAGAAGTCGAACATTTTATAAACATTTTAGATGACACTACAAATTTTAAAAACATTTAGAAACAAAGTTTACAATCCAACATGAATCACCAATCACTGACAACCACATGATGGTTTTTGCATATCCAAAGTTATGTAACACCAAATTACATTACCTGGAACATTGTTTGCTGCAGCCGAGTCTCTCCAACACCATCCTCTTTTGCCTTTTCTTCTTGGGCTTTTTTCAATTCATCAGGATCACCAATAACTTCAAATTCAGCACCTTCCTCTAGCTTCTCACTACCAAGAGAAAAAGAAAAGTATATTTGATGGGTGCTCTCAATCTACCATTAGGCTCAGAGATATATCTAGAATGCTGGAATAATCCTATATGCAAAGATTAACCTTGGAAGCATGCACATTAAAGATTTAGCTTATCCTTACAGACCTGTGAATTACATTAACCACAAGAGTATAATTTTGAAGAAAATCATCGCAGTTCAATCTTGTCCCTTCTTGAATGCCGAAGTCCTGAAGAGAAAATTTTCATATAGCAGTCTTAGAATATGATTGGTAATAGCTAAATATAAGATTATATTCTAATTTTCTAACCTTTTAAATAGCATATCCACAACACAATATATGTTAACTGAAAGTACATGGTTATCAACTCCATTTTGTTTATGGATACAACCTACCTTTAATAGCTTATCATTATTTGCCTCTGTTTCTCCCTCCTCTGATGAAATGAGGATGGTGCCCTTGCCATCACACAGCTCAACATCTGGTGCAATCATGTTGAGGGCTGACTTCAATATCCGGTCTTCCAAAACTTTGACTGTGACCTTTTCTACATTCAATCGGACCGAAACTTCAGGTTTCTCAGAACAGACGTAACATTTAGGATTAGGCTTGTCTAAAACACAGGGTACCAGGAGGCGTTTCTTGGGATTTGGTCTCCTATTTAGGTAAACCTACAAAGAAAACATGAATAAAATGACAAAGGGCAAAGATTTCCACGCAGTATCTTGAATTCATATCCAAATAACAAAATGTGTAACAAAAACTTTATTATGCATCAATTAACTTAACTGGTTTCTTTAAAAAAAATTATTATGGGACCACTCTGCTCTAAAAGTGGGAAGGGAATCATTACCCAAATGTACATTTGATCGGCACATATAACATGGAAGAGAATGCTATCTCTAATGCAGAACTAAATTCCCTATATATAAATTAATACTAAAACAATTAACCAAAAAAAAATCATATGTGTACTTACAGTTTTACAGTCTTTGAACCTTCCCTGTAGGATCTTCATAGCTTCTAAAACAATAAGACCCGCAATAATTGCATTTGTGGTGGCAATTGCAGGGATAATATTTCCAGCCATTGCTGAGGAAAGTAATGATCATTAGAATATGTAAATGCTACACTTTATAAAAGAAAAAAGACATCAAAAGACATATGTAAAAATACCTCTTGGAATGTATATAAAACTATACATGAAGGATTTAATTATTTGCCAAGTACAAAAGTAAATACAAAACTTAATTTCTTCTTTTGGCCATAATTTTCAACAACAAATTCTAAGCATTATGGGTACTCTTTTCAGAATACCTATGGCATTTTCCCAGCACTGCTGTTAATCAGGTTCAACTTTCAGCATTTTTTTTTTTTTTTTATCTTTTTTTTTTTATAGAAACAAACAAACCAAATACAATGAAAATAACAACTACTTACATTTAACATCAAATCTGGTCTTTTGTGGAATCCCAAAAATGTGAGCCCGGATATTTGCACATGCAGTAACGAAGTCCATACTGTCCTTGTCATCCTTGTCCCAAACCAGGTCGTCACCTTCAGGAAGTCCCTGTATGGAAGGAATGTTCATCAGTTTCTTTTTCTGAATAAAGTATAGCACACCCACTTAACCATATCCCTGAAGGTCTCTGCACTGTCCACCTTTGTTTTTTGCAAATTTTTTACTTGCAGATGGCTCCACATGAGCTCAGCCACCAAGGAGTCAATTAGTAGGGCCTAGTGACCACGCCTGATTTCCCCATACCTTGAGTTTGCGGGAAAATCTGTTTTTCTACCTAGTACTACTAGTATTACTGTTATTATTATCATTGATATTTTAATTATCAAAATGTTACTGAAATACTAATAACACTAAAGACAAGAAGCTTTCCACAAATCATGGCTAAACATTATCACATCCTATCTTACTGTTTTGCACCTTGTCATACATTATCGTCAACTGAAGTTGAGCAATGTTTATCACATTAGAAACTTACTGCAAGACGTTTGTGAAGACTTGCAACTGCAGAAGCCATTACGTCTCGGCACTGAGTTATGGTCCATGGGCGTTGGTCCTGAATCAAACCTTCTCCATCTTCAATAACATCTGGTTAATAAGAAAACAAATCAATGGAACAATTCATAGAAGTTTATTA